GGGCCGGGTTTGCCTGTGTGCCTATTCAATTATTAGAACAAAAGTTTTCTTATGGAAGGTCCTTATATAGACTTTTGTAGTGACTCCGTAAGAATTCATAATGAGTTTGTAAATTGATAGGTGCTTTTAGAGCGGTCATTCTCTGAAACTACTGATTTATTTTCAGCAGTACGCCTCGTCCCTCTTTTTATTATCCCCCCCCCCTTTTAAAAAGACTGTACAGTTAAGTTTCTTCCAGATGCCAAGTTATTGAGGTTTTATTACAGTTTTTGTTTGTGTGTGTCTTCTTGCTGGTGGAGGTCAGAGGTTGGGGGTCCGTCTGACCTTGGACACTCACGAAACGGAGTGAGAAGGAGTGTGAGGCCTCTGCTGCCTGGCTTATTTCACACTTTGTCCTGTATCCTCAGCTACCGTCAGGCCCAGGCTGCAGTACTTGCAGTGTTACCTCGGCTCCATCAGCTCAAAGTCCCTACTAAGCGGCCCACTGATTATTTCGCAGAGATGGCTAAGTCTGATCAGCAGATGCAGAAGGTAAGAAACAGAGAAGATGTTTTTTCCTGGCAAGCTGAGGCTTTGGACTTTTAAATATATTTACCCGGCTAATCTCCTATAATGTTTAAAAGAAGACTATCAGAAGCAGTATAATTTACAGTTTGGTAGAAGTGGGCCTTGTTTGACTTTGGGAGGGAAAGAATTGCCAAAATTTAGTTCAAGATGAATTGAATAATTCCCTTGGGTCTCAAGCCGGATTTTAGGGGGCTGTTGTCTTGGAGGTACTTAGGGAAGCCAATCTAGAGACGAGCTCAGACACATCTCTGTACATTCACACTGACAGCTGCTCATCCTTTAACTGGGATGTGTATGTTTGGTAGAAAGGGCTACATGCCTGATATCTGTTGGTGTTTTTATGTATATGGTATATTGGAGAAGGGAACTAGGGCTGCATGCTGTTTTAACAGTCGGTAGACAGTAGGGATGGGCAGAAGTTATTTTCTCTTGGCAAAACTGTAAGCAGGCAGTTTTGTATAATGGAGCAACCTTCCCACACCAGGAGCGGGAAGGTTGCTTTCAAGTTTTTGCTTCCCCACTGATACATTCGGTATGCTAGGCAAAGTGCTCAGTCTTTGGGCTGCATTGTCCTCATATGTAAAACCCAGGTCTTGGAATTGATTATTTACAAGGTTTCTCTGAGCTCCATAGTTTGCAGATCAAGGAATATCTGTTTCCTGCTCCAGGGCACCCAAAAGAGCAGTCATCCCAGAGTTAAATAACGTAATATTTTTATGTATATGGTATATTGGAGAAGGGAACTAGGGCTGCATGCTGTTTTAACAGTCGGTAGACAGTAGGGTTGGGCAGAAGTTATTTTCTCTTGGCAAAACTGTAAGCAGGCAGTTTTGTATAATGGAGCAAATGGCACACCAGGAGCGGGAAGGTTGCCTTCAAGTTCTTGCTTCCCCACTGATACATTCGGTATGCTGGGCAAAGTGCTCAGTCTTTGGACTGCATTGTCCTCATGTAAAACCCAGGTCTTGGAATAGATTATTTACAAGGTTTCTCTGAGCTCCATAGTTTGCAGATCAAGGAATATCTGTTTCCTGCTCCAGGGCACCCAAAAGAGCAGTCATCCCAGAGTTAAATAACGTAAGCTGACACATTTTGTGTTTTAGATTCGACAAAAGCTGCAGGCTAAACAGGCCGCCATGGAGAAGTCAGAGAAGGCTAAGCAACTTCGCGCACTTAGGAAATACGGAAAGAAGGTAAGAAGGAAAGTGCAGGGGATGGAATGATGCCGAGTGTGTGTGTGTCAGGTCAGATTGCCGCAGTCTGGTTTGGTTCCATGACCCGTGTGTGTTAGATCTTGTGTTATCTTTTTTTTTTTTAACACATTGCGTACCGCATAGAAATCTCTAAGACATATGCCAGGGACCGCACGTTTTTGGGCAAACTGCACGTGATTTAAATCATAATGCACTTCAGGTGTTGTTTTTCAATAATTATAACATTTTTATTTACAAAAACAATTAAACAATTAAAGTTCCTAGTACTTTTTTAACGTATGGTACTGCATAAAACATTTTCCTCTATGAAGAGGGACCAAACAAAATTTACGTAAGTATCTAGATTCGCTCCTTTTTCCATGGGCGTGAGAAATGAGAACATTCGTGAGCGGT